TGTGACTCAAGCTGTGTCTTAAATATGGTGATCTGGGCTAGTACTTTAATAATAAACAAAATTGGGGCAAGGGTGGAAACAGGGAGATTACTTATGAGCCTGGTGAAGTGATCTGACAATATATAAAGTGGCTTGGAACAGGCAAGAAGCAGTAGAGGTGGTGAGAAATATTGAGTTACTGAACATATTATAAAGGTAGAAATTATTGCATTTGCTGATGGATCAGATTTGGAATATAAGAGAAAAAGATGGATGAACCCACTTGTTCAGATTGAGTTACCAGAGTTATGATATTGCCACTTACTTTGTTTTTTTATGTTGGGGAAGACTGTGGAGTGAGCAGGTATTTTGTTTTCATTTTTATTTAATTTTTTTTTTTGTTTGGTTTTGAAGACGTTAACTGTTTTATTTCCAAATAAAGCATCATAGAAGGTATATTCAATTATGCTGTTAATTTTATTACCAGAATTTCTAAGGGTATCTTATGAAGAAAACAGGTTTGGAATGATGTAGGATTAGTGGGAAACTTGTCTCCCTCACTTACTATCTTTAGTACTTTCGGCATGTACTTATGCATATATCTGAACTTCAGTCTCTGAACTTTCCTTGAATGTTTGTTATGAGAACCAGAGATGATGTCTCTAATGGATTAGTACAGTACTTGACACATAGCAGATATTCAGTAAATGGTTATTTATATCAGTGCAAAATATCTCTAACGTGCTGATGCCAACCTGACAAAAAATGAATGTTTTTTTAATGGATGTGATTAAAATGAAATTGTAGTTTTGATTTGCAATGTTTATTACCTCCAATTTGGTTTCATTTCTGCTTTTACTTTTTTTTTTTTAATATACTTGAACAGAAATTGGGATTATTTCAGAGAGCACCATTGAGATCAATGGCATAATACAGGAACATGTTTAATTTAGACTGTCATGGAATCATGTGTACTTTCATTAGCTATCATATTAAATGTTTAATATGTTTAATTTTTTAAATTTGTAACCATCCTTTCCTTGACCTCTATCCTAGATAACTCTTATTCTTCTTTTAAAACTTCATTCAGTTGTTTCTCTGAGTTATATAGAATTTCTTCTCTAAGACAATTAATTGGTGAGAATTGCAAACTAGTAAACACTTAACCCAATGGGGGAGCTCTGGTGGCTTAATGCCTAAGGCATTTGAGTGCTAAACAGAAGGCTGGCCGTTCAAACCCACCAGCCACTCCTCAGAAGTAAAACTGAGCAACCTATTTCTGTAGTGATACTGCCTTGGAAACCCAAGGAGGGGTCACTGTGAGTTGGATCCAACCTGACGGCAGTGCATTTGATTTGGTTTTGGTTTTAAAACCAGTGATGGTCACTTTGGATCAGAATTGACTCGATGGCAATGTTTGGGTTTTTTTGATGGATTACATGGAAATTAACATTGTACATGGTTTTGTGTTTGTTTACATAGTGATAGAACATAAATCAATATAGCACACTTTCCATGTAAGTTGAAAATGATTCTTGTTGTAAATAACAACCATAGAATGAGCCTCTTTCTCGGAAAGCATTTGTCTTCCTGTGCACACATGGATCGTTTCTTAAACATAGCAAGGGATATTGGAGGTGGAAAAAGACACAGTTGGTCCCCTGGATGACATGAAAAAGGTCTGTGGCCTACAAAAGCAGCAGTGGAGATTTGTGTTTTGGAGTTGATAATGATGGTGATTATGGGAAGCACTAGGAGCCCCATTAGGCAAAAAAAAAAAAAAAAAGTTAAAAATCAGCGATTGTCCTGATTTTGATAGGACTTCAGAAGTAGTCTTTTTTTAGCAAGTTATAGAGCTATAAAAACGTGAACACTATAGTGACTACAAGTGGAAGTGAAGGTGTCCTAAACAATAGCAGCTACTGAGAAGTGATTGTCCTGAAATCTGTAGTAGCAGAAAGGATTCACAAGTTCCTGCAGTTCCTACAGTGGAAAGTTAAACGAGACTGTGACCTTATACAAGAAAGAAGATTTCAAAAGTGGAGGCTAACCATAATTGGTACTTCATGTTCTGTGACTATCAATGCTATTTAGATACTCCTTCTTAGATTCTTTATACTTTAGAATGAAATATGACTACTGGTTTTGGATCATGCAGGCAGTGGATTAAGTAAGATACATTTCAAAGCATTGCCTTCTAAGTCCCTTCCATTTTAAATTCTGTACACACGGAGTGAATATCTATTACATGATGGGCATTGTGCTTCCAGAACAAAGAAGAAAATGAAACAATCTCCTCTCAAGCTGTTTAGAGTCTAGTGGGGGATAAAGATACTTAAACAGAGAAGAGGAATGCTAAATAAATGCAAGGAGTGTTGAGATAAATATTTTAACAAGGTGCCATGGGAACTCAAAGGAAAGTGGAATATTTATTGCATGTATTTAAATTATCATATTTTATCCCAGTTAGAATTCTGTTTGTTCCAATTAGGTTTTTAATTATAATAGTTATATCTACTTATTCAGAAAATATTTACTTATTTCTGTGCTATTATGGTCTCTTCTTTTCTTAATCACTTTGGTGATGTCAATCCTCTGTGACAGCAAGGGGAAAGACAAGAATCAAGGTCACACATTACCCAGGTAAAGTCATTTCAATGGCTACCCAGCCTGGAATATGGGTTTGAGTTTTCTTGTGGTCCTTTGATTTGTGCCCATGTAGCTATTGAGTCATTAGAAATAGATGATATAATATAAAGTCACAACCACATCCATGTGTTAATGCAGACAGGTGACACAATGATTAAGTGTTTAGCTACTAACCAAAAAATTGGCAGTTCAAACCCACCCACAGGCATCTTGAAAGACAAGACCTGGCAAAATGCTTCTGAAATGTCACATCCTTGAAAACTCCATGGAGCAATTCCATTCTGCATAGACAGGGTTACCATGAACTGGACTCCACTGAATGGCAACTAATAGTCAGCAGCAACCCAAAGTTTTAGAGCTCATTCCTTTAGGACAATTACTTCTATTTACTGCTTCTAGTAGTTGCCAAAATGGAGTGTGAACTGATCTGGTGAGTGCACAGCTATTCCACAGGCATCATAAAGAAACCATGAGAATTCTTATTTTGATTTATTTTTAAATACAAATTTAAGGGAAAATAAGTGTTTTACAGTAATGGGTAATATATGGAGTGTAGTTGTCAGATGGTCAGTGTAAATACTGTTTATTAGTAAAGCCATGCATGAATATGGTTGGTAGATAAATAAATACAATATATCATGGTATGCAATTTTTTTAACTGAGTGTTATGTAACTAAGAGCAATAAGAAACCTTTGCCAGAGCTTCTTATACTTTGATGTACATATGAATCATCTGGTGATGTTATTAATATATGGATACTGGTTGGTGGACCAGGTTCAGTAGGACTCTGTGGTTCCACTGGGTTCTCAGGGATGCCTTTACTACAGTCCATAGGTCACCTGTTGAGTAGCAAAAAACTGTAGTCTAAACACTTCATTCTCAAATTTTCTGCATACTAGGTTCTTTGGTGGATTTTCAAATCCCCCTTCTGAGGCTGAATCTCATACCACTTGAATCAGAATGAATTCTGTGGTTAGGACCCAGACATTGGTATTTTTTTAAGAACCATGCATTTTATTTCCATGTACAGCCAAGTCTGTAAAATCTAGACATTCATCTCGTGATTTCAACTTTATTATAAACAGAACAAAACAAAAACCAAACCCACTGCCAGTGAATAGATTCTGACTTGTAAGTGACACTATAAGACAGAGTACAACTGCCCCATAGGATATCCAAGTTTGTAAATCTTTATGAAAGCAGACTGCCACATCTTTCTTCCATGGAGAGGCTGATAATTTTGAATCACCAATGTCTGGATTAGCAGCTGAGCACTTTAATATTAGAGTAGAGTCTGCACAGCTGGGTCTCAACTTTCATCTCTGTTGATGTGCGTTGAGGCTCCACCTGCATTCCTTGTTGGTTACCCCCTTAGGAAAGCAACCCCCCTGCTCTGTCTTTCTAATAGTTTGAATCTTTCTCTGACTTACAGGGTTTCTTCCTAAGACTGGGCTTGTTGTGTTCTGCACAAAAGAACATGCATTTGGTCACTCAGTGGGTCAGCATTGTGGTTGTACTCCTCTTATCAATACGTGTGCCCTGGCAGGGAGGCATGTTTTTTAATTGGTCTGCCAAAAAGAGCAGCTTCTTTCCACTTTTCCAATTTTTCAACTTTGCACAATTTTTTCTAATTTTTCCTAAGATATGTTTCTGACTCAATGTTTTCTTTATCTGCTAATAAAATCTAGTTTTAGAAAATAATTTTATTTTCTCTAGTGATCAATACTTTGTAATAAATTCATATTATATTGCTTGGGTAAAAGAACCACAAATTTCTCCCTCTCCACTCCCAGCCTCATCTGCCATAGGCAACCCTTGTAAGAGTTTAAGTCCAGTAAACTGCATTTAAATATTTTAAGGAAATTGACTTTTATTTAATTATTTTAACCCTGTTATCAATGTTTTGGCTGTTAAAGTTGTCGTTTTCCTACTCTAAATCAACAAGTTATCATACAATTAGTATTTGAATATTTATTTAAATTATCTTGTTCATTCAGGTATTTGTCTATAATTAAAAATAAATTTTTTTCAGAATGCAGACACATTAATTTAAAGTATGAATAAAATTGTGCAGGGTCTTTTTTTTTTTTTAAGAAATAGCAATTAAAAACAAAACAAAACAAAAGCATGTTTTTTATAAGTTCTAGAGATAGTGCATTTGACCAGTTATTTAAAATCTCATTATTTGTGTATGTATGTGTTGAGTTAATCAACATCCTTATGGAGTTTTACAGATGTTCTCTTCATATTAAATAAATATATATATGCCTTTTAGGAAGTTGTTCAAAGGGAAGCAGTTTATAACTTACCATCACCAGTGATCCTCCTGTACTCAAATTATTTTATTTGTATTTCTACTTTGTTTCTACAGACTAAAACTGGTATTGCACTGTTGTATGATGAAGGGTCTGAAAATGCATATGACATCCGATTGAAGCTAACAAAAGAGGTACTAACTATCCAAAAACAAGATGTCGTCTGTACTAGTGGAAGCAATCACAGTGCAAATGTAAGTGCTTCTGAATCTCCATGCTTCCAGTGGTGTGTTTCAAATTTATGAGCCAAGAAGATCTTACTCAGATGTAAGCCACATAAAAATTATTGTGCAAGAATGTTTGCTAATAAAAGGCTACTGAGGCATTATTTAAATATTCTGGATATTAGTGTTTGATTGTACCCACTGAGAGTATTATTTTCAAAGTTGTATCTTACTCTTTCCCTATCTTAATTTCTTTGATAAAATAGCCCCAAATGCAACGATATGAAATGTGATATATTCTAATTGAACAGAAAACAAACTCACTGCAATCAAGTAGATTGTGACTCATAGGGACCCTGATTGGGTTTCTGAGGCTGTAAATCCTTAAAGAAGGAGACTGCCCCATCATCCTTCTGCAGAGCAGCTTGTGGGTTTGAACTGCTGACCTTCTGATTAGCAGCCAAATGCCTTACCAACTGTGCCACCAGAGCTCCTTATATTCTAATTAGAACATAAAATATAGTGGATGCTTTACTTTCTAAAATAATAGCTTAACAGTATCCATCTAGAATCCTATGCAATGAAAAAATAAAGTCAGTATTCTTAGTATTAGGTATATGCATTTTCATGCTGAAAGCATAGTTCTTCTTGGCTTTAAATGTATTCTTAACTCAAAAATGGAATTTTATTTAATTGTCTGGTGGTGTAGTCCCTATGGGACTACTAATGAGAAGGCTGGTGGTTCAAACCCACCAGCCACTCCTGGGAAGGAAGGCTGGACAATCTACTTTCATAGTGATAATGTCTCAGAAACCCAAAAAGAGGTCGCTGTGAGTCAGTACTGA